TCCACAGGACTTTGCAGTATCCTCGCAACTTGGTACCCAACTATCCCAGAGGCAGGGACCCCAAAGAGCAAGGAAGCACAGTCATGCCTCTTAGGATCCACTCTGAAGCCAACCCTGTCATTTCCACCTCTCTGTTCATTAAGGGCAAGTCACTAGGTCTGGGCCACACTTTAGGGGAGGAAGTTGGGTTCTACCTCTATTTATTCATTTATTTTTGCAGTTCTGGGGATGGAACCCAAGGGCTCATGTGTGCCAGACAAGCACTCTATCACCAAGCCACATCCCCTAGGCCCCACCTTTTAAGGGAGGGAGTGCCAAAGATTTTGCAGACATATTTCCAAATCAACATGAAGAACCAGGAAAGGTAACAGATAAAGATAGCAAGCTCCTGCAAGGGCCAGAGGCCTACCCCAGGTCAGGCTGTCATGGAGGCTCTGAGGAAGGAACCAGAAAGCCAGCTTGGAAAAGGCAGTAGGACCTTCCCAGCAGTCAGTATTAGTGTGTGCTTAGGTGGGCATCAGCAGCATGGAGACTACCAGCAAGGAGGGGAGGTAGAAAGGCTGGCTGGGACTGAGGAGGGCTTGGGACACACAAGCTGAGTTTGCAGGTACATCATTGGTGCAGGCACAGTCCAGCCAAGGGAAGACCATGTGGCTGGTGGGCAGTGGCAGGTGAAGTTGAGAAGCCAGACTGAGGGAGGAACAGCCTGGTATAGGTCACCTCTGAGAAGCAAGAAAAGCTCCTCAGTGGCTCAGACTTAGGGCCACAGAGGAGCTGCATGCTACCCTCCATTTGGTCAGCAAAGCCCCATGCAGGGGTTACACCTTGAAGGTAGACCTGGCTCCCAGCCAGTTCTTTGTACTGTCTGCATGAGTCACAGATTCTTTGTGTTTGGGTATGCTGTAGGGATTCCATGGAGTGGGGTGGGGGGAGTGTGGCTTCAGGAGAGGATAGCTGTCCTCCCTCTCCACTGCCTTGGAGACTGCTGGGTACTGGCTTGTGCCTGGCAAGAAGACAGGAGAAACCATGGAACAGAGGTGGCTCCTGAGGCCCATCCCTCCTGCCAGAGACTGTGGAACATGTAGTCTCATTCCAGGCAACACTCAAGGGCTCCTGGTTTCAACATCCTGAGCAGCTTCTCCTGAGTGCTTTCTCCCCAAGTCTGGGAGTGCTCCTGGGGCTCTCCTACCCCACATCCCGTGCTCAGTACATGGTGTCTTCCCTGCCAGCTCTTCCTCCATTTCCCACCTACTCCTGTCTCCCCATGGTGCCAAATCCAATTGACCTACCATACACTAGCCCCAGGCCAGTCAGCACACTGCCCCCATCTGGCCACTGCCTTCCGAGCCTGCTTGCACTGACCACAGGCTAACGCTGGCCTGCTTACCTGGCTGTTACTGTGCCAATGGGAGCCCAGAGGGCTCCATGCAGGCCGGGCATCACAGGAGGGGCCAAACGGGCAGCATGCACAGCATCTTGGCACTTCGTATCCTCACCAGTTGATCTGACCACTACTGGGGAGCCCCCTGGCCTTCTGGTTCTGGGGCGCCCCTGGCAGGCTCCCTCCTGCTCTATTTTTATTCCAGAAGCATTTGCTATGACTATTTATACCAATCCCCGTCTTGGGTTTCTGGGCATCTCCTGACCCTGGCCTTCCTCTGGCTTCTTGATCCCCTAGAAGGCCAAGTGCATTCCGAATGGCACCGAGCAGACCAGGAGGCCAGCATCTCACCTGAGGGTGAGCCAAGGGGAAACCAGTGGAAGTAAGGAAACACACACGTGGCCCAGCTTTGAGGCTGGTGAGTCCAGATAGCTGGCAACACACTTAGAAAACCGTCAGTACTTCTGGTTTATTACATAAACTCTCATCTTCCAGTTCCTGCAACACCAGCGTATCTTGCATCAGAGGGACAGCAGCAGGGTTGGATACTGTTCCTGTTCCACTTCCCTTGCACTGTCTCACCCCCAGCTGCTTTCCCAGCCCATGTTACACATGACCAGAGGCAGAGGACCCACAGATCGCAGCCAGGAGATTCCTTGGAGGCACTGTCAAGAGGCTGACTTACAGGTAGGCTCGCCCACCTGCTCCCGGGCTGAGCCCTGAAGTCTGCGACTGGGAATCTGTCTTCTCAGCTGTCTCTCTAGGAGATATCAGCCACATAGGAACCTCAGCTGACTCCCACCACACGGGTTTGGAGGGAGACGCCCTTGGCCAAGGCCACACAGCTGGACAGGCCAGTACCCAGCATCCCCTCACCAAGGTGCCAGCTGGGTTCGGAGGGACCCTGACTCCTGGAGTCAGGCCTCTGTCCTGCATCTCCTTGGCTCCTCCTCCCTGGCCTGTCCATGATGTTTTTACTTCTAAAAATAAATTTAAAAAAATTGGAACAATTGCCTCTCTTTTACAGGACAAGTGTCCCTAAAGAAGGGCTATCACCTTGAGGGATAAGATTTTAGCACATAAACTGGAGGGATAAAAACACTCAAATCAGAGGATCACCCAAGCCTTTTGAGGAGATGAGAACTGAGCAAGAATCCAAGTTCAGGAAACAGCCATATAGGCAAGGCTCGGGGTGGAGGGGAGAGCTGCCCAGATCAAGGGAGCAGCCACGCAAAGGCCCTAAGGTAGGAATGTGAACTGGAGCAGGGCATGTGAGGGGTGGAAGGTAAAGTGTGAAGTTGCAGCCAGGTCACTTTGAGCCTTAGAGGCTCATGGCAGTTAGGGTTTTACTTCAAGTGAAACAGAAGCCAAATGACAGTCCCACTCATCATTCAGTTGAACAGATTCCAGGATGGGGAGAACCAGTAACTTGCTTTCCTTTTTGCCTGCTAATAATTCTGTTTTCATACTAGACCTGCCTTATGTGAGAATTTATAAGCCAGGTATGTTGGCTCATACCTATAATTCCAGCTACTCAGGAGGTAGAGATCAGGAGAAGAAAATTTCAAGGCCAATTTGCTCAACCAATAAAGCTGGGCATGGTGTTATGTGCCTGTCATCCCAGCTACACAGGAGGTGTGAAAAGGTGGATCATGGTCCAGGCTGGCCAGGACAAAAACACAAGACTCTATCTGAAAACAATTTAAACCAAAAAAAAAAAAAAAAAAAAAAAAGTGAGGGGGAGAACACGACTAGGCATATGGTTCAAGTAGTAAAGTACCTGCCTAGCAAGCATGCGGTCCTGAGTTCCAGTACCACCATTAGGAAAGGAAGGGAGAGAGGGAGGGAAGGAGAGAGGGAGAAATGGCAAAGTAAAACCACACTTCCCAGTTGTCTGGCTTGTCCCCATGATGGTCCTACTGCTCTGGCCTTGGGGCTCTTTTCCTCCTTAAAGGCTGGGGTCTGCAGGGCTAGACAGGCCCCTGCAGGGCAGTCTCCCTGGGACCCTACGGACCTTATGGAATACACTCCTTGCTGTAATTTTACCCTCAGGAAATGAAAAACAATGTGGTAACACAGGCTGTGGCCATGATATACTCATTTACTTTCAGGTACTTCTTTCCGGTCTCTTCCCAACTATCATGGAGAATAAGGACTTGGGCCTGTCGTGTCCCCAGTACCAGGCACATGGCAACACAGGTCTGAGTGAAGAACTCTCAGGGCAGCAGGGGATTCTAGGGAGGTGTGATTTGTGCAATGGCCCCTCCCACCTCAGTGTCCCCCTCCTCGCCCATTCCACCCAAGCACATCCAGATGGAAGTGACAGTTCCTAGACCCATCTCAGGCTGCCTCCTACATCCCTCACATACTGACCTTTGTTTCCAGACCCAACAGGTCTCTGGCTGAACACCAGCTCCCCATAACTGCCCCTACCTAAGCCCTTCCTGCAAGGTGTACAACTGGAGGCCTGCACACTCCCTTCTCAGACCCGCAGGGTCTCACCTTCCTTCGCTGGATTCTTGCAGGCTGAGGCAGGAGGATTGAGAGTTTCAGGCCAGCCTGGGCTGCATAGAGAAATCCTGTCCCTCACTCCCCATTCCCCCAAAAGAAAAACAAAACAGGATGTCCTGTTTTGAAACCAAATGTTTTCAAATACCTTCCTGACTTAGTTACCCTGTCAATGCACTTGATTCTTCCCTCATATCCTCAAAGGGATGCATGTGACATTCAGGGATTTGTGCCTTGCCACCTGAGCCTTCAAGTGACCCAGGGGACACCATGTCTTCTCTTTCCTTTTTTTTGGCTGTACTGGGGTATGAACCCAGAACCTCACACTTGCTAGCGCTCTACCACCTGAACCACACTTCCAACCCTACCATGTATTCCCAGGGCTAAGTCTCCAGATACAGGGCCTCAGATGGGCTCCAGCTGGGAGTAGCCCCAGCCATCTTCTGCCCTGTCTGGACTTCTCCCACCCCTCTGTTGTCTGGTCATACTAACAACTCTTCTACTCCCCTCCTCTGCCTGTGGAGGTGTCAGCAGGCTCACAGGCTGGTGACATTCAAACGCAGGCCTCCAGACCCCTAGCTCAGGGCCCCCCAGCCTTCACAAGCACTGGACTAGGAGTCAGCAGTCCTGGGTTTGGGTCTCTGCGTTGGATTGAGATTCGAAGGTTAAATGCGACCACACATGAGCACTGAGGTCCCTGGTACCACCAGGCTTCACTGACACCACATGTGTCCCTAGTATCAAGTGCACACAACCTTTAAGCCTGCCCCTCCTGCAGAGCACATCCTTGCATTCCCAACCGGAGTTCAGCAATTAACAATGCACAGTCATAAAGGAGGCTTGGCAGGCCTCAGGCTGTTGTTACCTGACTCTCACTGGGAAGGAGAAAGTGCCTGGTCCAGGTCAGCTCCCGACCCCCTGACACCAGGGGAATGGAGGGGAGGGGAGGAGGGGAAGAGTGGAGAGCCGCAAACTGGGACCCACACCAAGGACCAAAGGGGTCTCTTGCCACTGTGAATGTCGGGGACTACTGGGGGGCCGCTTTAGATTCGGCTGTCACCCTACCCCACCCTGGCTGCCCCACGCTGCACAGCTACCCACGGTGACCTACAGCCAAACGAGCTCCAACTCTGGCGCACGTGCGCATCGCAGATCCATCCTCCCTTTGGCCACGCTGCAACCCGGCTGCAGCTGATAGACCCACCGCTCTGTGGCCTGTTCGGCTCTGCAGTTCTCATCCCTGTCCTGGAAATTTCCTCGCTCCACAACCTTCCGCGGCTCCCGGGAACCTGCAGTCTGGTGGAACATGCGGACCCCAAAGGCCTGGCCCTATGTCCCCCTTCTGTTTCCAAGTTCGTTCCTCTCTATCCAAAAGCCAGCCTCGGGCCCCATGGTTAAGAGCCCAGGCGCGCTCAGACCCTCAGATCTCTGCTTGTTCGCCAAACAGGCCGGAAGCCACCTCCAGGTGAGCACGCCTGAGGGAGCGGCGAAAGCTCCTCCCGGGAGGCTACTGGCCGCGGACCGAGGACTTTCACAGCTAGCTATGTTTGAGCCTGCAGGCCGTGGAGGGTCCCCGCGATCCACGTCTGTTCTCGCAGCTGTGTCCCCACTATACAGGTGAGGACGCGGAGGTTCAGAGGCAGAGTAGCATCCAAATCCAAGTCTGGGATCCTAGGGTCAAGCCAGAGCGCAAGCCATCCCGCACAACTGCCCGGCGCACATTAGGGAGTTTCTCGGGCCCTACCGGCCGAGGGCGCCCCCCGGCCAGGCCCTGCCACTCCGCCGCTGCGCGGATCGTGCTTCCTCTCCCCGGCGCAGGGCGGGCGGGCGCAAGAAGCACATTCTTTGTCTGAGGCACCCGACGTCCCCCCACCTCCCGCCCGCCCGCCCGCCCGCCACGTTCCCCGCCAGCCAGAGCGCAAGCCATCCCGCACAACTGCCCGGCGCACATTAGGGAGTTTCGGGCCCTACCGGCCGAGGGCGCCCCCCGGCCAGGCCCTGCCGCCCCCGGCCAGGCCCTGCCACTCCGCCGCTGCGCGGATCGTGGCTTCCTCTCCCCGGCGCAGGGCGGGCGGGCGCAAGAAGCACATTCTTTGTCTGAGGCACCCGACGTCCCCCCACCTCCCGCCCGCCCGCCCCTCCCACCGGGCGCGCCTGGCCAATGAAGCGCGGCGGCGGCACGCGGCGCTCGGGGTGTTGTCCGCGCCTCGCGCGCCCATTGGCTGCGCTCTGCACCCGCGGAGCTGCGGCCTGGCGAGGCGGGGCCCGCGGCCCGAGGTGAGGGACCGCAGGCAGCAAGCGGGTCGGACAGCCGGGAAGACCACGGGCTAAAGAGTCTCCACCAAGCCGTAGATCCCGGTTCCGGCCGCCCGGGTTTCGCGAGAGGAGGTGGCAGCCAGGCCCTAGCTCCAGCGCAGCACGCCGAGGGCCCCGACGGCAACCAGCGGGCCGGGGACCGGAGGAGAAAGAGGAGCAGGGCAGTCTCACCGGGGCCGAGCCATGGCGCTCGACTTCCTGGCTGGATGCGCAGGGGGTAAGGAGGCGCGCGTGGGGCCCGGGACGCCGGGATGCGGGGCCAGTTTGCCTGCCCAGTGCCCCGCCCTCTTGCTGAGGTCTCCCGGTCCGTAACATGGGGACAAATGCTCTGGTCTCCTGCGGTTTCGTGGGCAGGTGTCTTTCTGTCCTTCCGGACACGCTGGGACGGGAGGTCTGGAGTTCCGGGTAGTTCAGTGGCTTAGCGGAGGCAGGACAGCCGGAAGGATGCCGGCGCGAGGCCTGCGGACGCTGACGTCCCCTGCGCATCTCCATTGAAACGGGATCCCTTCCCCCACTGTGAGTCAGGGACTGACTCGATTTCCCTCCCCGCAGCGCCTGGGCGGAGCTGGGGCCACCGGGCGACCTCCTAGCGGGTGGCCTGACCCCAAGCGCCGAGTCACGCTTTGGCACCCCGCCACTCCCTGCCTCTCTACGCGGTTCTGTGAGCTGCTGTGGGCGAGCGGGCCGCTGTCCACCCGGTGGCGGAGTGGGCTGACGCGCTGCATGGGCAAGTCAGTGTGGCACTGGGGTTTCTCCCCCGCCTGTGACCCGAGAGAGCCCCAGTCGGTGTGCTGGTGTGCTGGCCGGGTCTGCCTGTGACCTGACTCGGGACAACGCACTTACCTGTTGACCTGTAGTTTCTCTGCTTTTATCTTATGGGTCAATTTATTCAACAGGTATTAATAGCCTGGTTTAGCCATCCTCCCTCCCTGGCAGAGAGGGCTGGCTAGTTATCCCAAGGCCCTGTCCAGTTCTGAGGTCTCTGCTTCTGTCCTCAACCACCTGCCCCACCTGCCCTTGTTCTCTCCTCTTCCTTTGCTTGTGTTTGGCTCTCATACAGCCCTCAGCGATTGGCCAGAGGAGAAGGCCCTGGAGGAAGAGCATCTAACACTGGTGTGGCCCCTGGTGGTTGATCTGTGCTGCTTCCTTCTGTCCCAGGGTGGTTGGTTGGCCTGGATGCTTGTACAGGGGCAGCATTTTTGCTGAAAGCATGTAGGAACTTCCCAGTCTGTTATCCTAAGGGGAAGCTGTGGGAGAGAGATGAAGGCCAGAGCTTTCTGTAAGTTTGGTGGGGGTTTTCTCCCAAACACTGGGTGCCAGGAGGGGGCCTCTGTGAATCCTGCTTTAGCTACCCCACCTCATTCTTGCCTGTTTCCCAGCTCTTCTCTATCCACTGAAGCAGGTGGGCAGCGGGGTGGGGGTTGAGCAATCTGCTGGGGAGTATGAATTCTTTGCTCAGGGCCAGTTATAGCCTAGTCTGTGCAGGTGTTTGTGGGGGGCGGGGAGGCATAGACATAGTCATCCTAAAGCCAGGCCACCCACAATCCCCTAGATATAAGTTCAATCACTCCTTGTGCTCTGGCTCAGGTAGGCCCTCCTTGCCTGGAATGCCCTTTTGCCCATCCTTACTGGATCCACCTGGGGGAGGTCATGTCCATGCCTACTGCCCCAGGGCTGGGGATAAGACCAGGGTACCTCCCAAGCTCTGGTCTGTGCACACCCAGGGTGTGTAGTGCCCACCTACATCAAAGTTGTGCATGGTGGTGCAGGGGGCGGGGGAGGGGAAAGGGGGCAGGGAAGGGGCCACTAAGCATTTCCAGTAGATGAGGGTGGGAGTCATATGAGGAGTCTCTCTTGTGCTCATCCATTGAGGAGAAACCTAAATCCAGAGAAGTGGAGAGCCTAGTGCAAAATTATCCTGTGCTCCTTGAAGGGGCAGGGCCACTGGAGATCCACCCACAGTGACCTGGGTGTGTCTCAGGTTTGCCTTCTCCCTGGCATCCTCCCTCATTTAGCCAGTCCCACCCAGAGAGGCTGTACAGAGCATAGCCAGGTGGTATACACACTTTGGGATCTGGCCCCCTGAGGCTCCCTGACTGGGCCTTTCTGGTTGGGGCTCTCCACAACCTGGAGGTTCAGGATAGGACAATAGTGACACTTCTCTTTGGCGACTCCTAATTCAGATTTCCCAGGAAAGAGATGTCCTATGGGGGTGCTTTATTGCCTTGGTATGCATCCTGCATTTAACTTCTCTGGGAGGCAGAGCAGGCACCTCGATTGACAGGTTGACAGCTTCAGGCCCTTGCCTAATAGAATGGTGGAATGCCTGTGTCTCAAATCTTGAGGCCACCATAGACTGTGGGCTTTGGATGGGGCTTGGACAAGAGGAGGGGCAGTGTCTGTGCGGTAGGAAAGATCTGTTATCCTGCTGCCTCCTCCCATCTCTGCTGTCAGGTGCCTCCAGGGTGAAGAAGGATGTTGGAGTGGGGATTGCCTCTGGCAGGAGGCATTGGCTTCTGGTGTGACTGTAGACTTGACGGCTCTCTCAGGCAGATGGTGAGGCAGGGCTTCCAGGCTCTTGGGGGACTGTGAGGTTAAAAGGGTAAGGTTCTGCAGGACTAGAGGCCTGTTGGGGCAGGCCCCTCTCCTACTTTGTTCCTGTGGTGGGCATGTTCTGGATGAAGGGACTCAGCCCACCTCCCAGCCCTGAGGGCAGGGAAACAGGTGAGGGAGAAAGTAGGAATGCTGATGTTAGCGCTTAGAGCACTTGTGTGGACTGGGGTGGAGGAGGTAAGGGGCTTTCTCCTCTTCACCTCATACATCTCTGTCCCAGAGGTGGCATTGCTGATGCCTGAGCAAGTCAGGGGCCAGAAACATGACCCCTCCCCAGAGGAAGGGAACTCTGCAGTTGGGCCTGGCCTTAAGGAACCAGAAGGTCCCCCAGCAGGTGAAGAAGGAAGGCCAAGTGGTACACTTGAAGTATGGGTGCTGGGTTTCCAAATTCCAAGGAAATGCAGATAAAGCTCAAGAAAAGAGGCTCTGGAACTAGGATCTGCAAATTCAGAAATAGTGCTGGAGTTGTAGCTCAGTGACAGTGTTGCATGCGGTTCTGGGTTCAATCCCTAGCACCACAAAACAAAACAAAAAATCCCCAGAAAATTCTAAACATGACATAAAAAAAGAGGTTGGGTTTCAGAGAGAAGAAACACAATGGTATCCAAAGAACAGAAATACAGATTGAAGTCAGGAAGGAAAAGAAGGCTTAGTAGAAAGCAAGGGACTCTGGAAGGAAAGGAGGGAGCCAATGAATAAATAGTGGAAATTTTCCTTGCCCAGAAGAGGCATGGGTTGGTGGAGTTTAAAGAAAAAGACACCCTTGGCATCCCCTGGTGACATTTCAGAAATCCACAGATAAAATCTCAGAGGCCTCCTGACAGACAGAGTAAGTACATTCTCGACAAAGGAATGCATTGGTAGCAGATTTCTCATCAGCACTGGAAGCCAAAAAAAAAAAAGGGACTCTGCAGACCCTCCCTGGCCTGCACCCAGGAACTCTAAGCAAAGCATGAGGCTGCTCCCTGGCTGAGAAAAGAAATGTATCTTGCAGAGGTTTGGGAAGAGGGCATTTCCCCCTGTGTTAGTTATAGCTGAGGGGAATAATGGAGAAGACCCCAATCAAATAAAAGATGGGTGATCAGAGCAGAGAGCACAAGATGGAAGGAGAGTGAGTGACCAGAAACTTTGAGTCTCCTACTTTATAGGTGAAGGTCAGTGGAAGGTGGCAGGGTGGGAGCCTTCTTGGGGTGATTCTTACTGGCGTGGGGCCACAGTGGGCAGAGAGCCTGAGGGGGTGGAAGATGCTTGCCTTATTTCTATGAAATAATTAGGAGTGGTAGAAATAAGAAGAAAAGGCTTTGCTGAATTTAGGAAATTAAAAAGCAGAAATAATAAGTTGCCTGAACCTGCAAAAATGTGGAAAGGAAAAGGAATAAGTCATTCACATAAAATTAGATGGCAAACTGTCAGCTCTCTGTTGTTCAGTGAAATCTGAGACCAGCTGTAGGTAGTTTGCAAGAAACATCTAAAAGTAATAAGAAATGGTTCAAAATTAAGAGTTGGACAAAACTCAGGCCAGGTGTGGTGGTGCAGGCCTGTAATCCCAGGTACTGTGGAGGCAGGAGCATAACGTCAGGCTGGCCCAGGGAAATGCTTGAGACTCTATTTGAAAAACAAACTAAAAGCAAAAAGACTGAGGGTTCAATAGTAGAGCACTTGCCTAGTGAACGTGAGGCAGAGTTCAATCCCCAGTACCAAGTGGGAGG